CTCGCTCTCGCTCGCTCGCTCTCGCTCCCTCTCTCGCTCTCTCGCTCTCTCTCTGTGTCTCTACTTCTACCTCTCCTCGCTCAAGGTTGACGAAGCCCGATCTGGCTCCACTTTACCAAAACCTGCATGCAAGCTCGCATTCAAGGGATTTTTCTGGTTAAGTTGAACACGCACAGAAACCGCCACATCTTCGAGCTCTCGAATCCCAGAAAGCAAAGCCCTGCAGCGTGAACTGCGTGAATTACTATTACTGGTCTCGTGTTCATACCCTTTCTGCGACCGCAGTGGCACAACGAATCTGTTGTTGTGACCAGTGGTCGCAGCTGCAGGGCAGAAGCCGAATCTGGAAGCCAAGCGGCAACGGAGGATGCCTCCCTGAGGCTCGAGCTAAACCCTAAATGCCCGGGTCGGGCGAGTTTCTGCACATGGAAGCTGCGCAGATCACGCCAGGCCTCAGTCTGCGGGCATCTCCAAGCCAGGGATGGCGCAGCTGGGAGATCCGAGAAGGTCCATTTTTAGGACTTTAGGGTTTAGGGGTTCAGGGGTTTTGGGTTTGGGGTACTCATTGTAGGGCATCACCACATCGCCTTTCGAGAAGTTTCCTCTTGCAAGGGGTGGCCATCGTCCAGTGTCTGCTTCGACCACCTGGCTCCTCGGCTCGTCTAGTCGGTGTCTACCAGACCTCCATTAAGCTTCGCGCATTTTGAAGGCCATCCCGCCCGGCCTCCTCGATGTCGCAGGGCGCCCAAGAGGGCCTTTGCTCCTGGCGCCTAGCGCAGTAGCAGAGAAGTCTCACTGGGCTCCCAAGGCGACCGAAGTCAGCGCTTTCGCAAGGAGCGTTGGAAATGGCACGGTTTTGACATGTTTTGACAGGGCTGTCAGAGATGCAAGTTGCAAGCTATGGCACACGGTGCGAGAGTCGAGAACTTCCAGTCTTGTTCTCCACATGTTGCAGGAACCAGCAGGAGAAGCTCCAGGCCGGCACGGTCAGTGCATAAGCTGTTCAATACACTATATATATATACACATATTTATATTTGTATATGTGTCTACATATATATATATACATACATGCATATGTATGCATACATGGATGCGTGCAAGTATAGGTATACACATGGTATGTTGATGAATATTCAAGCTATTATCTGTGTATATATACACACGACATATATACATATATATGTATGTACATGTTGTAGGCATACATACAGATACATATGTATATACATGTGTGTAAATATATATATATACATATCTATATGTACCTATACATATACATATCCATATGTGGCTACATGCATACATACGTGCATTCAGTGTTATTTGTCTTGGGCTCCTAAATAGAATGTCTTCCAAATCATCGCCTCTCTCTTAGCGCCGGCTTGTGTAGGAGGCACCTGCCCTTGTTCAGGCCGCCATCAGTCAACTCCTTGACAGCTCGCTTCAAGAACTTGCAAGAGCACTCTGGCAGCACTTGTCCTTCCTGAAGTGGTCCCTCTTTGGAAACCGTGAAACCCTCGAGCTGCGATGCCAGGACGGTGGAGCGAAATCAGGAGACCCTCAAGCTCTGTGCTTAGCCCTGCGGTGCTTGCAGATCTGAAACTCAAAGATATACGAGGTCTCATCGGCACGGACTCGAAATGGTTGTAAAATCGCGCCAGGCCACTGTTTCTTTCCTTTGAAACATCCTCATCGCTGTTGCAGAACAGGACCGCGTTCAGCGCATGGCAGATGAGCTGCTGAGTAGCATCGCGGCTGCAAGTTCGACCGTGATCTGGCTCAGTGTTTTTAAGCGAATTCTGCATTCCGCATGCTTGTCCTGCAGAGGTATCAAGACTATGTATGAGCAAAGGGAGGCTGAGAGAAACAAGTAGTTCCGTGGTGGAGATCTCTGTGGTATTTATTTCCTGCAGACGTTTCCAACGAGTGAGCGCTGGGCCGGGACGCTGCTGCTGTCGCTGGTGTCGATGGTCGTTGTAGTTGCAGCCGTTTTTTCGTAGTCGTCATCTTCGCTGTCGTGGTGCTGGGGTTGGTGTTGTTGTTGTTGGTGGTGGTGGTGGTTGTCGTGGTGGTGGTGGTGGTGGTGGTCGTGGTGGTGGTGCTGTGGTGATGGGTTGCGTTCGTGGTTATGTTTGTGGTTGTGGTTGTGGGGTTTGTTGCTGTTGTTGCCGATCCTGCTGCTACCGCTACCGCTGCTGGTGCTGCCTCCGCTGCTGCTGCTGCTGCTGCTGCTGGTGCTGCTGTTGTTGTTGCTGTTGTGGTTGTGGTTGTAATTGTTGTTGCTGTTGCTGTTGCTCTTGCTGCTGCTGTTGCTGTTGCTGTTGCTGTTGCTGTTGCTGTTGCTGTTGCTGTTGCTGTTGCTGTTGCTGTTGTTAGTGTCAGTGTTAGTGTTAGTGTTGTTGTCGTTGTTGTCGTTGTTGTCGTTGTTGTCGTCGTCGTTGTCGTTGTCGTTGTCGTTGTCGTTGTCGCTGTCGCTGTCGTTGTCGTTGTCGTTGTCGTTGTTGTTGTTGTTGTTGTTGTTGTTGTTGTCGTTGTCGTTGTTGTTGTTGTTGTCGGTGTTGTTAGTGTCGTTAGTGTTGTTAGTGTTGTTGTTGTTGTTGCTGTTGCTGTTGGTGTTGCTGTTTTACTATTGCCTTTGCTGCAATGTTGCCGTTGTTGCTGGCGGTGCTGCTGCTGTTGCTGCCGTCGCTGTGTTGCAGCTGCTGTTGCCGTTGTTGTTGTTGTTGTTGCTGCTGTTGCTGCTGCTCTTCCCGCAGCTGCTGCAGCTGTTGCTGTTGCTGTCGCTTTTGGTGTTGCTGCTGTTGCAGTTGCTGCTGTTGTTGTTGTTGTTGTTGTTGCTGTTGTTGTTATTCTTCATCATCTTCCTCTTGGTGGATGCGTAAGACGGCGTAGTAGTAGTAGTAGTAGTAGTAGTAGTAGTAGTAGTAGTTGTGGTAGTAGTAGTAGTAGCAGCAGCAGTGGTAGTAGTAGCAGTGGTAGTAGTAGTCGTTGTAGTAGTAGTAGTAGTAAAGCGCCATGAGCGGTTCAAATC